AACCATGTTGGAATTCGGAAATTGTGTTTTTTACGTGCTTATAAATGAGGTCCGATAAAATTATTTCAACTAATTTCGAGTACACTGATATTATAGTAATCGGTCTATAATTTAATATTTCCGAATTCTTGCCGGTTTCAAAGATAGGGCATACCCTCGACAGCTTCCATATATTCGGAAAGTAACAATTTTTCAGCATGAGGTTGTAAATGATACAAAGAGGCTTCGCAAAAAGAGCAATATGATTCTTAACAAGTTTGACTGGAATGCCATCTGGGCCAACTGTCAATTTATTTTTCAACTTATTGGAAGCCGAGATGATGTCATTTTCCGAGATTTCACTAAGATGTAAGTAATCATCGGTGTTGAGATATTCTCCATTACTCCAGTTTGAATTTTTTTAGATTATTATTAGAAATATACACACTTTGAAAGTTCGTTGCAATTGTATTAACTATAGCGTTAGGTGATGACAATATTTGATCATTAAAATGCATATGTCCTGGAATTTGAGATTTATCATTCTTTGAGTTCACATAGCTCCAAAAACTGGAGGGATTTTTTTTAGGTTTTGTTCGGAGTTCGCAATGAAACGTTTATATGAAATATCTATATCGCGTTTAACTGAATGCCTCATCTCTCTGAACGTTTCACGATAAAAAAGTAGTTTATGATGCCTATACATTTTCAGGTAGTGATTCGTAAACTTTCAGTTTACGAATCAGATCTTTTGAATACCAGGTAGGGTACTTGCGGGGGCAGCATTTTTTCATGTGTACACAGTATTTTATTATATTTTGTATGACTTCGTTAAACCGTTCGCATGTTTGATCGACGCCATTCAGGTTGCTGAAGTTTTGATTCCAATCAACTCCTCCGAGTAATCTGCAAAGTTTTTCAGTATTGGTATTTCTGAAGTTATACCGGTTAATGGAAGAAAAAAATTTTTTTCGTGTTGGCCCTGGTGAAGTTTGTCCTGGATGATGGCGATCAATCGGAACTAGTGGGTCGTCATCAGTAAGTACTTTGCAATTGTTTTCGTTACTAGCAATTATCAAATCGAGAAGTCTGTCATTATAATTTTTAACTCTATTAATTTGATACATATCGCAGAAGCTCAGAAAGTTATTGAAACGTAATATCGAATTGGTTTGAACTTTTTTATCATAATGATCTTGAAGTTCTGGAATATTGAAGTCACCTAAAATTATTGTATTGCTAAGGTCGTGAATGTTCTCTAGGCATTCGAAAAATTCATCATATTCATCAACAGATGTGTATGGAGGAATATATACAAGTATTATGATTTTTGGATCATGATTACTGCCCCATATCTTTACTGAAAAACATCTATTTTATTAACATGACAAGTCAATTCAAGGCGTTCGGATTGGTATTTGTTGCTATCGACTGCCAATAAAACACCACCTCCACGAGCTCCTGTGTTTCTATCTTTACGATAAACTGTATAATTATGCGGGAATAGTTCGCTGTTGAAAAGATCTGCATGTAACCAACTCTCTGAAATAGCAACAACACTATGACAACTTGCTAGTACATTTCTATAAAATAAGTGAGTTTTGGTATTTAGACCCCTACAATTTTGATAGCAAATAGTTAATGTGTTAATTGCATCACTCTCTAATAATCTATTGGATGGAATTACAAGTTTTTTACTACTATAGTCGGATGCCCATTTTCATATTTTATTACCAAGTTGTTTTCACCATTGTCTTTTCGCAGTGTTAACTCATTATGTAGTGTTAAATAATATTCACGTTGTTTCACTGTTTGGTCAGTTCTCAGGTATACGTTCTTGAACTTCTCAGTACTTTGAATTCTTCTTTTGTTCCTGATCAGAGTAAGTACATCTTGTTTATTTTGCAATGATACTTTGATTGGTCTGGAGTTCCCCTCAAATTTTTTACCGAGTCTCGTAATTGTAGCAGTATTGATGTTGGAATCCGGGATAATTGATGTAATTAACTCTTTAATGGGCAAGGCTGGCTCAACAATATCTTCAGGAATACCAAATATGAGTATGTTATTCTCTCTACGTTTGATTTCATTGATCTCATTCATTATTTAAATTGCACCTATGGGATTCCGAGAAGTGTCCAATACTTTTTTTTGAGCACTTTAATTTTATCATTTCAGTTTTTTATCTCTTCTTTGTGACTGACCTTCATAGACTGTATGCTCAACATGAAAGGTCCTTCAGACTAAATGAAAATTATTCGACGTTTTCAAATCATTCCTTGAAATGCAACCACAAGTTCCCGAATATAAAAGATACGGAAATTTTGCACTATGCAAGCAAGGGTTGAAAACTCAATTATTTGGAATCCTTTGAAACCCATGAGCATAAGCATTGCGGATGTAACCTACTGAATGACCAAATAGATAACCGTGTTAGGAATCAAACGTTGAAAGGTAAGACCTCGTTAGTCCTCAGCTCGCACAAGTTTCTCAACTTCTGAGAGTTGTCGTTCATATGGGGGCGACGGCTGATTAAAGGAAAAACATATTTTGAAAACAGATTTTGATAGATCTTCTCTACTTGCCAGTTATCAGACTAGCGTACCTACATTGTCACAGGTAAACAAAATTCAGGTACTTAATTCTGTTAAGGACCTCTGTTATTACCTGCAGTGATAAATAGATAAATAAGGGTTAACATTATTGATTACTTCAATTTAATGTATTCGTTTGAAAATGTCCGTATAGGACGAAACTGCAGTACACGTGGTTTCAAAAAATGGGAAGTTTTATTTCTGATTTTTCATGATGATCTCCTACCACGTAGTTAACGGCCACATCTAGCAATTTAATGGAGTTGTATTATTTACTGATTGTGTTAGGTGAACACATAAATAAATAAGAACTCTCATTTTCTAATAGTTATCCTTTATTCAGGCTTAGTAGGGTTTTGAAAATGTTCTTATGAGTTTCAATCTAATTTCTCATCAAATGGTTTTCGGAGGTGTACTACTATCTACCAATTTGAATAGTTCCGGCTGCGTTAGTTAGTTCTCTTTTCACAAATATTTCACCGATGTATAAGTGACAGTGCACCTTGATTGTCTAAAAGCATTATCATTGTCATGCGACTGAAAACATACAGAATTTTCAATTCACATTCACATTATAGCTTTCAAAAGAATGTATTTTTTCTCTTCTGAGAAAAATTCAAGAAATGTTTTCATCGAAAGTTGAATTATTGATCTCTCAAAACTCACAAACATCTTTGAGAAATGACAGTGAAATAATACCCTGGAAATTCGAAAGTAATGAACAGACTAAGTAACTCAATGTTTTCCACGTAATAAGGTATATGATGGACATATATAAATTCTGAATAACGAACTGTCAAATCACGAATAAGACAGTAAAATTATATTCCTTCATCTCCTTAAGGTGTCATATATTATGGCAATATAATTCATAGTATCAGTACGAGAACACTGATTTGAATTACCGAAACGATTTAACGTATCTCATCTATGTAATGTAGCATATGGTCTCCAACCACCATTTTATTGTATATCAACGACTTATTGGAAAGAACGAGATATCTAATATATTGCTTTGCTAATGACAGCACACTTGTATCGTCATTGCATTTGAATTCCAGGACATCGGCTGCAGATGCACATCTTCACCGGTAGCATATCTCAATGAGGATCTAGAAGTGATTGGGGTAAAACTAATCAGATTCAATTTAATGCAACAAAAACCCAGACATCGGAATTCTCCAAAGAGATAAATGTCTCCAAACCGAATAAGTTTGTTGGGGGTTAAAATGAACACCAAAGTGTCGCTGGAATTGCAAGGGCTGCTTCACGGAAGCTTGGAACACTGTTCCGAACCAGAAAATTGCATACAACTCAGCAACTTTTGATGTTTGATGATGTTTTGATGTTCAAGTGATTTGGCACATTTGATTTCATCAAGAGCGGTACATATCAGAAATATACAACGAACTGTGGCTACTCATCGATTTGAGGTTCAACTCGGTACACCTCAAACTCCACAGTTTAAAAACTCGTCCATTTGGAGAAATGCGTTTATGTGGTATAAACTTCCTGAGAACGTTTTCCCAAATTGATTTATTCTCCAGCGATTCACATTCAATGTGAATCGCTACTTTTGCACAGGCACCGCTCTTAGAGCACCTTACGGTAGTGATTTGTGTTTAGTTTTATGAAAAAAGATTGTGTAGTAACCCATAATAAAATGAATAGAATTTTTCTAATCTATAATATACTTTCAATTCATAATACTCATAGATAGCTGTTTTGGCCTTTA